CCCGCAGGTAGCTCCGGTCTGGGCTCAGCTAGCAGCATCCAGGCCGCTGTCCGGCAGCTGGAGGCTGAGGCTGACGCCATTATACAAATGGTACGTGAGGGGCAGCGGGCGCGGCGCCGGCAGCCAGCAGCAACGGTTAGCATGGGGCCTGTGGCGCTTGGGGGCCACTCCGTCCGCGGGGCCCCGCCCCCCTTCCCCCGCGTCCGGCTGGGAGCCAGGGCGCCTGGGTTCGCTCCCCACCTCGGGGTGGGGGCTGGCAGCTAGGACGTCTGGGTTCTTTCCTCGGTTCTGGGGCAGGGCTGGGAGCCAGGACGCCTGGGTTCGCTCCGGGCCCTGGGAGGGGGTGAGGTTTCCTTGGGGGTATCCAGGGCTGTGAGGGCCCCCCTGCTGTTCGAAACCCAGCCACTGGCACGTGCCGACCTCCGAGCGCCCGGCCGCTGGCTGCCCCCAGGGTTCCCCCCCAGCGAGAACGAGGAGACGTTCGCTTGCCGGGAGCAAGCGTCACCTCATCTCCGGGCACCAGCAGCCAATCCCCCGCCTCTGCCCCTCGGGGCACAGTCCTGGGGCGTCCCTTCTACCCTGGGAATTCGGGGGGCCCCCGCACGCTCTGCTGGGGGGCCTGGGAGCCAGGACTCCTGGGTTCTCTCCCCAGCTCTGGGAGGGGAGTGGGGGCTGGTGGTTAGAGCAGGGGGTGGGAGCCAGGACTCCTGGGTTCTCTCCTGTGGGAGGGGAGTGGGAATCGGTATACATCCAATGGCTCCCAGCCCCAGGGTCCCCCACTTCACAGGCCCTGCGGGAGGTGGGAATCCGCTGTCCCCCTCCGATTTCACCTCTCTGGAGAGAGTCCCCCTTACCCCCCCCCCCCCGCCATGCCCCCGCCCCCATCCGGCTGCCGTGGGGCTGTGCCATCACTGATCCATGCATGCCATGCTGGAGCTGCCCCCAGGGCGGGGGTGGGGGGGCATCTACCCATCCCTTGCAAGATCAGCTTGTGTGTGTGAGCTGCATGTGGGGGGGTGGGGGGAACGCTGGCCATCAGTCAAATTGCCCCCCCCCCACCAGCCACTCCTGGAGTGAGTCCCTCCGTGCCCACCATACATCCGGCCCCAAAGAGCCCCCCAGCCCCGCCCTGACCCCCCCTTTGTCCCGCGCAGTCCGAGCCGAGCCAGTCGGAAGGGGCTGTTCGGAGGGATGAGTCGCCTATGGACGTCGATCAGCCCTCGCCCGTCACACAGGATGCCCAGTTGGTTGGTGAGTGTCCTGTTGTCACAGCCACGCCTGGGGCCGGCTCGCCCGGCGCTGAGATGCAGCCGCCTCTGGGGTGGGGCAGGGGGGGAACAGCTGCACATAACGCTGCACGAGGATGGCTCACCTGGTGCTGAGATGCAGCCACCTTTGGGGCGGGACGGCTGGGGAACGGCTGTGTATACGCAGCTCAGCCAGGGATGGGGAGGCGTCCTTAGCTGCAGGGACCCCCGGGGTAACCCTGCCCCCCCTTTGCAGGTTCGGAAGGACCCCAGCCCGGGGAGAAGGAGGAGCGGCCCCCGGATCTGCCCCTCCTGAGCGAGCAGCTGAACCTGGACGAACTCTGGGCCATGCTGGGCGAGTGCTTGAAGGAGCTGGAGGAGTCCCACGACCAGCACGCTGTGCTAGGTAAGGGGCCCGGCTCTCAGCCCCCTGCTGCAGCCGGCCGTGGGGTGGGGGCCCCAGATCTCCTCCCCCCCCAGATCTCAGCCTCTCTCCCTGCAGTGCTGCAGCCAGCCATGGGGTGGGGGGCCCCAGATCCCTCCTCCCCCCCACCCCCGATCTCAGCCTCCCTCCCTGCAGTGCTGCAGCCAGCCATGGGGTGAGGGAGGGGCCCCAGATCTCAGCCTCCCTCCCCGCAGTGCTGCAGCCTGCCAGCCGTGGGGTGGGGGCCCCCAGATCCCCCCCGATCTCAGCCTCCCTCCCCGCAGTGCTGCAGCCAGCTATGGGGTGGGGCCCCCCAGATCTCAACCACCCACCCTCCGTCCCTCCCTGCAGTGCTGCAGCCGGCCGTGGGGTGGGGGCCCCCAAATCTGTCTCCTTCCCTGTGGTGCTGCAGCCAGTCAGCTAGCCATGGGTTGGGGGGCCCTGGATCTCACCCTTCTTTCCTTCCTGCAGTGGTGCAGCTGGCGTGGGGTGGGGGGTCCTTAGATCCCCCCGGATCTCACCCTCTCTCCCTCCCCGCAGTGCTGCAGCCGGCGGTGGAAGCTTTCTTCCTGGTGCATGCAACGGAGCGGGAGAGCAAGCCCCCGGTGCGGGACACCCGCGAGAGCCAGCTGGCCCACATCAAGGACGAGCCCCCGCCCCTGTCGCCCGCCCCCCTCACCCCCGCCACCCCCTCCTCGCTGGACCCCTTCTTCTCCCGCGAGCCCTCCTCCATGCACATCTCCTCCAGCCTGCCCCCCGACACCCAGAAGTTCCTGCGCTTCGCAGGTGAGGGGCTTGGGGCCTGGGGTGGGAGAGAAGGGGGGGCTGCAGTGTGGTGGGGATTGGGGGAAAGGAGGGGCTCCAAGGGGCATGGTCCAGGGTTGGGGGGTCGCGGGGCTCCAAGGGTGAAGGGCGAGACCGATGGGGAACGGCCCTACATGGGATGGGCTCGCTCAGCGCTGAGATGCAGCCACCTCTGGGGTGGGTCAGCCTGGGAACAGCCGCACATACCGTCGGGGGGGGCGTGGTTTTGGGGCCACGTCTCGTGGTGCTGGGGAGAGCAGTGAGTGACACCCCCCACACATGTCCCCCCTTCCCAGAGACCCACCGCACGGTGCTAAACCAGATACTGCGCCAGTCCACCACCCACCTGGCCGACGGGCCCTTCGCTGTCCTGGTCGACTACATCCGCGTGCTGGACTTCGACGTCAAGCGCAAGTAGGGAGGGCAGGGGGCAGGTTTGGGAATGTGGGGTGAGGGAGCGGGGCAGGCTTGGGCGCCGGGGCCGTGTCCAGCAGCAGGGCGTTCCCCAGGCCCTGACACCCTGCACCGGGGCCGTGTCCAGCGGCGGTGGGTTCCCCAGGCCCTGACACCCTGCACCGGGGCCGT